GAACCCAAGCAGAAGCGCAATTAGTCAGCCAAGTCGGCGTGATTTTCACCACAAAACAAAACCCTCTCAACTTACCACTTTTGAGCAGCTTTGCGTCAACACTCAATCGTATCCATGCCCCTACGTTAACTGGGCTACTAAAAATCATGTGAGCAGTCTTTTGTCTGCAGATGTAGTGAACTACATCGATGCTAGTGAGAGTGAAGGGTCACTATGATCTGGATCTGAAAGACCTATTAAAAGGTATGGCATGATCGAATTTACTTTCAAAATTAAGCCCTCTGCTATACCAAACAATCAATTGGTATCTACATTTATTGTACAGTCAAGCTGGACTTTATTTACGCTCGCGCTGGCTTGCTCTACTGGACTGGGACTTGACTTTCACGTTCGAAAGGAAAGTTGCTTGGAAGGAATTTGTGGTGTTGTCTCACCTGAAACCGAACGAGGATTGCCGCTTGGGTCAGACTGTTATGATGTGCGAAGAAGTTCTCAGCTCACGATTTAGCAATCACGACAAACATGTGCTAAGCTTTCGTCTGCACTGTAACTGGCATCAGTTGAGCGAGAATCCATACTTTAAGTAATTGAGCAAGGTTATGCTTGGCTTATGAGAAAATACTTACTTTTTTGGTTTAGTATAATTTTGATCTATTTCGTAAAGGATAGATTCTTGCTCTGACGCTATCTCTCAGGGCGGTACTGACGAAAGTTTATCACAGGTTCGTCGGGGTCGCAGAACAGTGAGCATATGACTTCTTCTTGCCACACGCCATAGTTACACTTAACGGCCAACACACAAGCCCCCGTGATATCACCCTATCAAGTGTGTATCTGTGTGCATGCGAGTCTCTGTATATGAAAATATGTGTGTAGACATGCTTGCATGTAATTATGTATTCATGTATGTATTTATAGATGTATGTATGGATGGGTGGATGTAGGAAGTATGCCTCTAAGATGCACACATATGTATGTATTGATAAATAAATAAATAAATAAATATATATTATGTGTGTGTGTGTATGTGATGATGGGCTAATTGGACGGGGTCGGCTCGGGACGAAATGGGCGGAGAGGGTCATCAAAGCATTTACGTCTTGACCTGGACACATAATCTGAGGCCAGACCAGTTCTCCATTCTATTCGCTGATCCTCGGGCCTGTTACGTCGCTCATTACCACTTCCCCCTTAGACGATTTTTGGACTTTACTTCACCTTGCCATAGCTCACCTCCGCCTCGTCTACGAATAGCTCTGCTGCCTTTCCGGTTGTTTGGTGATCTCCGCGACTTGGCCCCATGCCCAGTCCGCCTTTGAAGACAGACACTGCGACCAGACTGAAATCTGTCTCAGAGGACTACGTATGAGGAGAGAGCACAGAGGCTGTCTTGAGTAGCAAAAATGAAAGCCCACCCACCCAAAACACACCTGCACACACAAACACATCTACACACATCACCGATATATACAAATATCCTTTCGCATAAGCCGACACATGTGCACACACGGGCATGCGTGCTCACAGGTTTGCAGAGTTGGTGGTGATAGCGGTAAGCGGAAAAGGGACGGGGGCTTCGTGGAATGGCGAGAAATCGAGTGTGAGACGAGGTTGGGGGGGATACGTCGAGCGAGCTGGACGAGAGGACAAAAATGGTAGAGCCATCGAGATGCAGGCACGGACAGACAAGTTTATCTGGACCGAAATCAACTCAGAGGCTGGTAGGAAAAGGGAATGTCAGGCCCAGTTGGGAAGCTGGTGAACTGCAAAATCGATAATCATACAAAGCTTCACACCCAACACAGGCATTGGATACGCCCTTCAGGAGTTACGATCAAGAAGGCAAACGGAGGAGAGCAAACCCTTGTCACTCGGGTCTGTCGTGAGGCGAGGCGAAGCAAGGCCAAAAGAGTCAGACAAGCGGTTGGCAGCAGCGTAATGCCGGCCGCTCTTGCGCCCATTCATACAAGGCCTTACTCATACTCAGTCCCAATCACATACGGGCAAACGCATCGGCTCACCTGACCACACACCTGAAATAGGAAAAACTTGCCAGAAACTGTGTATGTCGAGTTCCAGTTTTAGCGACGCTACGACAATCTCGAGAGACCATGTGCGTATGTGTGTGTGTGTGTGTGTGTGTGTGTGTGTATGTGATGAAAACTTTATACTTCATAAAGGAGGTATTGTGGAAAACTAAAACAGCAGTCGCTTGGGTATAGCTGTCTATTCCATTAGGACAGGCCAAAAGTTGAGCGTACCTATCCCAAAACAAATGTGCTCTACTAGGATATTCCACATTTTCCGAGGACATGAAATACACTGATTTAGTAGAGAACAAAGTTGGGCTTACTAAGGGCGGTATTTAAATGCTAGAGAACCGACTTAAGCACTAATCATATAGAGGTATGAGGTAGACAGTACATGCAGTTCAATGGGCTAATCCAATACCCAAACATAGGGATTGATGTCAGTAGTAGTGAGCAAATCAGAAGCTGTCAATTGAATCTCTTCACATCAAATAATCTTGGGAGAATGGGTCACGGTTGCTCAAAGAAGTAAATAGTGCGTGACTTGGCAACGAATGGCCTGATTGAAAAATTAACCTAAAATATGGATGTCCTTATATACTAGTCTGCTATCCGTTGTCATGACAGTGGTTATTAAGAGGTATGAAATCTAAATTAAAGTGTAAGTTATTCGGGAGCCGCAAATCTAGTGGAAAGGTAAACGCAAATTATGGAGCGAATTTACCGTTATCTCCAATCTCGCACATTTAATTTCATCTCAGCCATTTCATCGAAATTCATCAGATATTAATTAAGTTAATTTAATTTATAATCATAAAAGATCTGATATAAATTGTATAATCAGATCTGATAAAATGTGATCTAATTACATACTAAAGAAACAAATTAAATAGTAAATAATTGTAATTTACAATCAAATGATCAATTATAAAAAAATCGGATCTGATCTCATCGATTCCAAATTCAAGCAATTTCAGCACATCTCAATCTCTATCATCTCATCCCATCACGTTTCATGTAAAATAATAGCATTCATCAAATCAAATATCAAAAAATTAATCGATCTAAACTTAGCTAATTTAGACTCAACTAAATCATTTCATATAATCTGAACTCATTTCATATCAACTAATCTCATATAATCTGAAATCAACTCATCTTTTCTCATCTCATCTCAAGTAATTTCAACTAAACTCAACTTTACTCAAATCAGCTCATCTCATCTCATTAACTCTAAACTCTCCTCAACTGAACGCGTCTGATCTAAACTAAGATAATAATTTATCAACTGATCTGAATTTATCCAAGCTCATAGCAGCTGATGTAAACTGAATTTATCAGATCTTAACTAATATGAAAAACAATTTCTTATTCAAATTTATCTTATTTCATCATATTTCATCTCATCACAAGTCATAAAATCTCATCAAAAATATTTTCCTTAAATCTCAATTAATCAATACACATATTTAAAAAAATGAAATTATGTGATTAAATAAGATGTAAAATAATTAAGCACAATATAGTTCAAATGAGGAAATCAAATCTCAACTCAAATCATTTTATCTCATATCAGTAAATGAAATATGAGTCAAACTCATCTCATAATATCCCAACTGATCTTAAATCAACTCAAATAGTATCATGAGATCTCATCGCAAACAATATCCAATCATCTCATAACATCAAATCACAAGTAAATTAACTATATCTCATCTAATCGTAACTCATGTCGACTCTAATAATTTCATAGATCTTATCAAATATCAACGCAACTCATAAAATCTCATCTCAGCTCATCTCATCTAATTTCATCTCAGTTCATCGCAACTCATCTTAATTCATTTCATCACATCTCATCTTATCTCATCTCATCTCAACTCATCTCATCTCATCTCATCGCATCTCATCTCATCTCAACTCATCTCATCTC